GCTGCTGTGTGCTTATGTAGTCGGTCAGGGACCAATATATCAATCTCCATGCCAAGTGTGTAATTTCCTAAGAAAACATTCCAATTGTTTGTGGTCCCTCTGACTTTTGTTGTTCCTTTCAACCATGTGTATTTACAACTCCTAGGTTCTTCCTTCCCTTTAAGGGTGGGTCCCACACACACACACACTATGCTCAGATTAGGGCTATGTTGCATGCAGATATTTACCAAACTCAGATTTGTGATTCTGCTCTTCTAAATTCTCATTCACGACCACAAACTGAAGCATCTGTCTGAGAAGTCATAACTATCTCAAAAAAAGAGAGATCTATTTATAATAAATCAGTATTTCAGGAATAGGAGAAGACAACATATGATCTGTAATGAAATATATGTTGTGGCAAGACAAACACTAAATAGTACCAGCTAGGTCAGACTCTTTGCCAGTCCATCTACAGCAGGTATTGAGCAGCAATCACATCATCCATCTGTGCAGGAGCATGCACAGACCAAGTGACTGCTAACTCAAGGACACGAGCTTCCTTCTTGTCACTGCTTTAGCCATTCCTTTTTCCCTCTTTTTGGACAATTACAAAGGGCATGAGAAACAGAGATATCATAGGTTACGTAGTATGGAAAATTTGCCTATAAGAAGTTGCTCAAGTATATCAAAAAGCCTGTGGAATTCCTGTTCAAAGAATTCAGAGTTCTGGGGGAGCGAAAGGTAAACTCGGATAACAAAAGACTGAACTTTAAATTTAGTTACAGATCTGGTAAGTTAAAACATTGCCTATGAACACTTTGATTTAATAATTCGTAGGGCACAAGCCTTAAGGTCAAAAAGGGGTGACAGGTATGATACACAGAAGAATGACAACTGTAAAGATGCATCAATATGTCCTTGAAACTATGCCACAAGCTGATCTCTATTAACCTTGCAAAGACCCATACACCAGAGCGTCATTTTCTACATTATAAGGAAGGGTAGAAACATGCATTTTCCAGATCAGTGATGCTGAAGTGAAACAAAATCTAAAAAAAAAAATTCTCTAGGAATAATAGCACCAGGTGTTCTCTTAAAAATCACACCAAAAATGGGTGTTAAGTATTGTAATGTCCAACCTGCCACTGCCACTTGATATTACGAAAGTGGAGTAAATGCTCAAATACCCAGTCTGTTTGTGAATCCCTCTCAAAATAGCAACACATTTCTAAGTGAATATGAAAATCTAAAATCTCTAACTGGTGTGTTTAGTATAAACGAATAAAAAACTATCCCACGTGTTCTCAGGTTTTTATTTTTTAATGGTTCACAGCATTAGTTTGAAAGACAAATTGTGAAAGGTCAGAAAACAAGCCAAGTGCAAGAAGCTGGCATTCCAAAGCATGTGCTAAAGGCAGCCCAAATTCCTGGAATGTACTGAGATCACTTCTAGCACTTCTCTTTTCCAGAGAAAATAACGGCTAAGGAAATCAGGAAAATGAGGGAAAAGTGAAATATCAATAGAGATGGAAATAAAATGGGACAGAACACCAGGTTATATTTACCCTCCAGAACCTAGGAAATATTACAGGGAGACCCTACCCAAGCCACCCAGCAAGAACCTCCCCTTTCTAATGACCCCTTAAAGGCTGCATTATTTTTACTTTTCACCTGTCCCAACCATGCATCTCAGAGTATGCAGCTTTCATATGTCTGCTAAATAATTCCTAGACAGACACCATAACATCTCTGCATCTGTTTATCTTTGTATCATGTGTTATTAATAAAAACACTGAGATTTAAGGGGAAAAAATTGCTGTGACTGAGCCAGCAAGTTCTGGACCCTAGGAAAGAGCAGTGAGAGTAGCTGTGAATGAGAATTCTGGAAGCAAGTGAAGCAGCAGAAGCAGCACTGACCCAGCCAATGCTGTGTCCCATGCTAATTTCAGAGTATGACTTACTTAAGGAAGGCCACTACACAAAAAAGACACACATGCATTTTGGTATATAGCCCTGTGGTTTAGAAAGTGACCCAACAAACATAAGGGGTGGAAATCAGTGTTGCTGAACAAGGGTCATTTGCAAAAATTGTCTTCTCATCCCTTCTTGGAAACTAGACAAACATTGCTATAAGTAAAAGCAGCTTCCAAGCTATAGATGGAAAGCCTAACTGCAAGCTTTACCCGGTTTTCCCCGACATAATGCAAGTAATAGCCAATACATCCAGGGTAAGGCTCAGACTCCTCATTCATGCTGGACAATGTATTTTCCATTCTCCCACTCCTCTTTCTGGGCAGAAAGGAAAGGTTTTCTAGTCCTATTCACATTTGTCTCTCATTTTTCTATCCCCATAACTCCCATATCTTTTTTTACTCTGTAGTTATGTGCAAATTAGACTGATTACATCAAGCCTTTAAATACTGTGAAACAAGTTTAAAGTCTTAAAATTACCATATGCCACATATGTGTCAGACTGAGCACCCCCTTATGACATATTTTATTTAGGTTTGACTCTCCATATCTTTCAACCTGTCATTTAACAGGGTAAATATTTCAACAAAAATTTTGCAGTAAAAGCTTCTTTCCTGATTTTAAAAAAAAAATACTGTGATTGAGTGTTTCCTGCTTAATTGCAGGAAACTACAAGTAGTTTAATGATTTTAAAAAATCATAAAACAAATGACAAAAGTTATAGCCTTCATGTCAAAATACCTAATCCTAAATCAGTTGCCAGAGGATACCTGGGGCTATTTTGTAGGCTAAGTGGGTTTTTATATATCTCCCAGAAAAATAACTTCCTAACTCAGTGCTTATTCCAATACAAGATGCCACATTTAGCTGATTGTTTTCAGTTCAAAATAGCAAAAACCTCAACTGGGAAACACAATTTTTAACTGGCAGATACTAGAGGCAAAGGGACAAGAAAATAAGAAATTATCCTGCAGGAGGTAGTATTAAAAAGCAGCAAACAGACAAGAGACAAAAGTAGCAGAAAATGCAGAGGATAATTAAAAACACAAGAGAAAGGAACTAACACAGATAGCATAACCCTATCTTTTCCCAAATTCAGATTGCATAACAAATATGCTCTCATTAAAAAATAGAGAAAGTGTAAGCCAAACCATTGACTCAGGAGCCAGGATACAGAAAGAGAACCACTGAAATCTACCAGGTATTTGTGAAACAGGAGGAACACGACACATAAAACCAGATACAAAACAATCAAGGGAAATAAGAACAGGAAAGTACTTCTACTCATGTAACTGAAGAAAGGATTTGGCTCTGCTCAAGTCAGTCCATGTTTCCCCAGAAGAGAGCTTAGGATCTGGTTGCCTGAGGGGGAAATCAATTAGCTGCTTGCACTGATGGATAGTCCCACGACAAATATCAGTCTGTTTTAGAAGGCTAACACAATAGAACTAAGAAATAAGAAAAGCTATTTCTTTTTCCTCATTACAGGCACCTCTGGTAAAAACCCCAAAACAAAGAAAGCCACCCCACCCACCCTGAAAGTGAGCCCTGACCTATATAAACACAAAGAAAATAATTACTTCACAGCTATTTAAAGGAAGTGAGTGTTTTGATCCAATTAACTGAGACCAGCCAGGTTAGAACATACAAACACATAGGAGCAGCAGTGCCAAGAGATATCTCACAGGAGAATTTTACAATTGAAAGGCTTCTCACGCTATTGGCCCGTGGCCATCCCAAACATGTCCAATGTTATGTAGGATTGTCCTGCACCGTTTTGCTGAAGAGGAGGTAAGACACCTGACTGGCTTTTGCGTTCATCCATACTGGGCTCTGGCAAGCTCTCAGAAATAAGAAATTCCCTTGTTCTAACAGAATTTTTAAGGTATGGGTTGAATGCTGCTTTTTCATTGAAATCTTCCACCTTGAAATCTTCCTCAGCATCATTTTCTTCATTTTTAACTGAAGTCTGTTGGGATCCACACAAATTGTTTGCCAGCATTTCTGTGGGTTGGATTTCCTTCACTGGGGTCAGAGCTGAATCCATTTGACTTCTGGTAAAATCATCAGTAATTACATAAAGCATGGATGGCGAAAAACATTTAGCAGCTTCATTTTCTTCATTACACAGTATCTTTTTATCCCCACTAATCATGCCTTTTGCATTAGTACCAGTACGTTCAGAAACATGACCTTCGTAATTCGTTGGCAGTGATCCTTCCTGACTTTCCACAGGAAAACAATGTTCCAAAACACTTATGTCTTCAAAGTCTCGAGTTGTAGCCTCAGATGCCACTCTCTTCAATAGTGAACTATTCTGTTAATACAAAGAGATAAACTGAAGAGTTACATAGGGATAAACAATATATTGGTTTATTTTTTTAATAAATAAATTATAGGCATTTGAGCTTTGTTTGACTCAGTTTTAGAAGTGGAGTAATAAAGAGTTCATGTGCATTTCAGCTGAGATGGTGTTATATGTGATTGAGTACTAAAATGACAATGTTATTCTGTCCATTTGTTAGCACTTTCATGTTAGGTTTTCTGTGCTTAATGAAAACAGGAGTTTCAATGAAGGCTCAGAATCAGTCTTGGACTGTGTCCATATTTCCTAATCTAACCACCAATTCTGAGAAAAAAACTTCAAATCCCAATCTCCACACATTACACTTTCCATGTAAACCTGATCAACTCCATGTCATTCAAATGCAAGTCACATCAAAACTTTAATGAGAAATAAATATTCCACAATGAAAAAGACAGAAATGTTAGGACAATAATATACCAAATCTCACTACATGCTGCAATACATTTGTTGTGGAGAAGGGAGGAGATATCCCAATGTGGGAACCTGATTCAGTAGACTCAATAACCTGTGCAAATTCAATTGACTTTATTAAATAAATCACGTCCACCAATCACTTTGTAGCTTCAAAACACTATTTTTCATTATCATATAGGATTAACTGAACTTTAGGATGCTGCATCTTTTCTATTATTATGAAATACTATGAAGGGCATTTTATAGCACTTAAAAAGAAGAATGAAACTCCATAGGGCTTGGGGGTGTTATTCATAAAATGACTGCCAGAGAAGGACTTTTTTCTCTCCATCTGATCCATTCTTTAACACATAGAATGGCAATTATTACCGCAGATGTAGCCAGAAGCCACTCCACTGTAATGCTCTCTGCTGGGTTTGGTATATCAGGCCAGCAAACCTTTTTAAACCTATAAATGAGAAAGGAATTTTATCCAAATGATGAAAGAAATAGATTATTAAAAATAAAATTAACCAATCTCCAGGAATTCCAACTACTGCTAAAACACCAAACTTTCCAAAGGAATTCTTTTCCATGTTAACACAATCTTTTTCCATAAAGTCATTTTCCCATACATTGAATTTTAATACAGAAGATGTCAGCAAGTAAAAATCTTGGGTCACAGAGATATTGCAGAAAAAATTACTAATGCACAAAAGCATTTTCTTATTATGTATTGTATTATTGTATTACATTACTTTATTACATAGTATATGAAATAGTAGCTTGCCAAAATAAAGCTGTACACAAAATCTGTTGTGATCGTGTTTCAGGATGTTTCTTCAGTGAAAAACCACCTCAGGTAAACTCCTCTAGGAGTGACCTTAGCAGCACAGTACACTAGAGCTATACTGAGTTCCTCTGTTAACAGCAGATAAATGATGCTCACTCAGTCACTCATTGACAGGGGGTAGACATGCAAGGGAATGAAAACCACTCTTCACAATGCAATTTGATCTGCTTAAGAATATAAACACTCAACTGCATTTCAAAGTATTCTCTGGAATCAAAACATAGTTTATTTCTATTATAAAAATCCAGAATACATGACACAGATGAAGAAGTAAAGGAGCTGGAAATTATACTTATTGCTTCAGCTATAGTTATTGCCTGATGCTTCACTGACAACAATGTTGGTTCTAGCAGCTTAGAACACCCCAAAATAGTTAAGATATTAACCTTCTCACCAAGCTTTAGCCAAACAAACTCAGGCACTTTTCATGTGAAAGAAAAGCACATTTTATAAGCTAAAAAACCCTCACAGTCATCATGGGGATGCACTAACATCCCATGCTCTGAGAAAGCAATTGAAAATCTGCCAGGGGAGATCTGTGACAGCAGATAAAAGAATGATGAATCATGTCATGATATGGATCCATACTCATGGATCAAGCATCCAAATGCTTTCACACGATGGGAGTTCTAGTTTTTCCATTGCTTCTTCACACCCCAAGGGAAGCATCACAGACTAACAAAAGTCATACTATTGTAGCAAAGACAAGCAATAGATGTTATGTGAAATAGGTTCTAGGCCATACCAGCAGATGCATTAAAAGTGCCTAGAAACTTTATTTTTGGTATTATTAATTTTTCAGTAACTGACTTTAAGTATGTTCCCTTCACTTGACTGACCATGGAACTACAAACAGCACATATTATGTTCCATGAAATTATATAGGTGACATGTAAATCTGTTTTTCTTATTTAGTTAGTTCTAATTTGCTGAACCTTCTAAAATTAACACCTATTTTTGGACTATTGCACATTAACTTCAGTAAAAGTATAACCTGTATGCTTATTTATTTGTTACTCCAATTGCTTATTTCCTTAGTTTTACACTGGTTTCTGAACCCAACCAAAATATTTATAAGATATATAAAATTTTGCCTTTTACGAGTTAATTTTAACTGGTTGCATTCGGTTTCGGACAGCAGAAAATGTACTCACGTGTGCTTTTTCAAAATGCATGTCATCCAAAGGCCTAACAGAAGCAACATGCTTATTCCAACAAGTACAGCAATGATATAAACATCAAATTTATCTTTGGAGAAAAAAAAACAACAGTCAGCCTACAGATGTTTGTCATTTCGTCATGTGTTCCCTTAAGACAGCTAACTTTCAACATCCAAGTCACCTAATTACAACTATTCTAAAGAGCTCTGTCAAAACTAGCCAAAATTACTTAGAATACTGCATGATATGCATTGCATGATGTGCCAAAAGATGAGTAATTTGGATCCAACAAGCCACAGTTACTGAGCCAGAAAACCAGGTCACAATGAGGCTTTTCAGGATGTCCCAGGAACAGATGCATTGCATTTTAATGTTTCCTTTATTTAATAGAATCACACAGCAATTTAGATTAGAGGGGGACACCTCATTCTTACTCTACACACTCACCTACCACTGTAGGTCACCTCACTCAGCTTTAAAACTAGAGTCAGGCTGCTTAGGGTCATATCAAGCCAACCTTTGAGAGCAACCTATGATGAAGATTCTACCACCTCTCTGGGCAACTGTTGGTTCACAGTCATGTTAACTGCCATATAGTGCCACTTCTGCCTGTTACAGCAAATAATTAGTGAATTAAATGCAGCAGATAGATTTTAAATCACAAAAAGTACAGTTACTCTGACTGAAACAGAGTCTGAGCTAGCTTCTGACTACCAGAGCTCCAGGGTAGGTACAGACAGCAAGAGACCTGACCTGAGCATAACCTAACACACCTTGTATTTTACTAGTAAACTAGCAGATTAATTTACAGGCAAAAAAAATAAACTAGCTTTGAGCCCCATTACAAGTTTAAGGATAGCTCATCTACATTTTTATATTTCTGTTTGGCTACCAATATGACAATTTAGGAAGGTACTGAAAACATTCTTCAAGAAGTGGAAATGTCTGAACTTCTGGCCTGCTGCCATCATACCAACCTCCTTGGCATTTTCTGTCTAAGACTAAGGGTAAGAAACAGGAAAAGGTATTTACACGCACACACACTGGCACTCATTTGTCAGTTAAGCTTATACAGCAGAAGAGGTGCAACATAATCTAATATCTCAGATGGAAAGGTCTACTCTTTAATAAACTGTTAGGTATTCCACCCCCTAACAGACAGCATACAAACTGTTGTTCCCACAAACACCCATAGTACTCCACAGCTTTACTGACAACTAAATAAAGACTTTGGGGTTTGACTTCTAATCCCAAGATTTTAGTCTGTGAGATGGTCAGTGAAACTGTCAAATTCAGCTAGGGTTGGCAATTCTTCCTTGTTTACTTCAACACCACTTAAGAAAACCCCACAAAAGTTAATAATGCCTAAATAACAATGTCCTGTATTTCTTACTCCCAAACATGTTTTTAAAGTAGCAGTAACTAATCTGGAATATTCCTTACCCAGTTTCAAAGTCTTGAAGGTTTTTGGCTCCCCACTGGTTCCACCAGCTCTATTGCTTGCCATGATATAGACAAGGTATTGTGTATCAGCCTGTAAGGACTTCAGTCTGTATTGCAGAACATCAGAGTTCACTGTTTCATCTTTTTTAGGAGAGTTATGTCAATAAACACATAAAAATAGTGTTATATCAGGGAACTGTACACTCATTTAGCAGCTTTAATAGTAACAGATTGTAAAGTATTTTAAGGGCAATTCGGCATACAAAGCAATCTTATCAGAGAAAACTTAAATTACTAAACAATGCTTATCACTCCTTAAAAGTTTAAGGCAAAAACCCAAACCAGTATGTATTTACTTCTAAAAATAAATGCAAATATTTTTGCTAATATTAAAGACAGGTGAATTATGATCTCCTGTAGTTTATTTCATCACTGAAAAAAATGTTTTGAGAACTTTACTTCCTTAAAATAGTTGGCTCAGAAATTAAGAATTTAAAATGGTTCTGCAGCTTGTAAAATTTAACTATATTTCTAGTACAAGCAGCTAGACACTGATCATCCAAAAGAATGCAATCTATCAGCACTGGAATCTCACCCCAGTAAAGTCAAAGGAAAGCCAAAACCAAGAGGAACTTCTTTACGAGTTTCAAACTGCTTTTAGAATAGAACTCAATGTTTCAAATATCTTCTACAATACTGGAATTCGTATGATGTGCTTCACCTTTACATTTTTTTAAGCAGGGCATATATCCTGTCATCCTATGACTACTGTAAGTACCAAAAGCATATTTGTATTAAGAAATTACAGTCACTGAAACATTTTCTGGTGCATAAAGTCAAAGTTGATTTGTGTCACCATTCAGTTCAGTCAACAAACACTCAGAAAAAAGTTATGTTGCAGTATGTCCCAAGTTAAAATAAACAGAGTTTTTCTTAAATCGAGGAGGGGGCAGTGTAGTCCTAGACTTAAAAGGCCATCTGTGAACTCACCTTGGCACAAACTCCATGTTCTATTCTTGTCAAGATGATATGACATGACAGAAGTTTCAAGAAACATCACTTCAAGTATGGCTTTGCCATTTAAATTAAATTCCCTTGAGTTGGTATTTAGAACTAATTTTCTAAAGAAACCAGTCTGAAACCCCAAAATGGACACAGTCTGCTTTACATTAGAACTAATATGGAGAAACATATCTCTGTAACATGAGGCTGCATGTCTTGAGGGTGATCCTGCACAAAGCAGTCAGCATTAAACTACTCAGAAACTAACATGACAGAAAAAATTGCATTCGGAGGACTGAATCTGACAGAAAAAAAAAGCAGGGAAAAAAGATTTCTTAAACACTGAGTGATCCAACAGCATTTTTCATAAACTCTACAGGAAAAAAATATAGGTCACAAAAACACTTTTCATGAAAGATTCTGCTGATATTTAAGCTAAAGAAGTTCTCAATAGATAGGATTACACTTTCAGACTGTATGGATACAAATCCTGAGGTAGGAGATTAAGAATACAGTCGAAGTTATTCTACTAGCCCCCAGACCAGAAAAGCAATACCAAGCACAGAGAATCAAGCACATCTGAAGAAGCTGAACTAAAAACTAAGTCCAAAGAAACTATCTCTTGGCAGCTTATTTTAGCTTCTTGACTGTTAATTCCTAATTTGCTTTTAATATAAAATTGACTCTAAGAACATTTTTAACAGAAAATTTCCACCAAAATGTTGCAGGAGCTGAATGGTTCCAGAAGCTAAAAGCATGTCCTTCCAAGGGTGTGCATGGAAGTAATAAATTCACTGAACCCTCATGATCCATGCACGAGATCTGACTCTCCAAAATATTTCAGCTCCTCCTTGGCTCCTCTACTCCTGCCATGAATTTTTTCATTGACTCCAAAACTGTGTCATGATGGAAGGGAGACTGAAGATGGAGGGAGTCTAGGACATATCTCACAAATAATACTCTCTAATTTGGCATAATCATGCAAATTACTTCTTACTTTACTTTTTCTTTTTTTTACTGTTAATGGCAAACAATCTGCAAAAAGCCTCTTAAATGTGAGTTTCCATCGTGGTCTGTAAAGGGAAGACGAATGAAAGTGCTGCCATACACTGATTATGTTTATCACCTAGAGATCCATCAGATTTACATCTGAGAAGCAGAAAAGACAAAGTACTCCACAGTCATGGCTGTACTACCATGGGCAATACAATACTAGTAGCAAATTGAGAGCAAGCAGTGCTATGCAAAATGAGTTCAGAACAAAGCAATTGAGAAAAAAACCACATGTAGTATTAAAAGCAGGGACTATTCACTAGAATACCCCATAATTTCCAGTAAAACTAAACATTTCTTCAATCTTTATGTAAGCCACATTTCAGAACCAGTATTTCCAGACATATTTATATCATACAATAATGAAGCATGTTAATAACTATGACAGTAACCATCTACAGACAGCACATTGTCAGAACCCTGTTGAAAGAATTGCTGTTTAGTATATACTTACTTAATTGTTTTCCACCTTCAGGTTTATAAAATATTGTATAGTTAGTGATAAATCCATTTCTTTTATCCAGTGAAATCTCCTTCCACCTTATTATGACTTCATTTTTTCCCAGAACAGCTGTGTCAGCCACAGGTCCTTCTGATGGTCCTTCAGAAGTATTTTAAAATAGAAAAAGTAGTAAAATATTTGATGCACCACAATGTTATCCATCTCTGCTACTTCACACATACCAGTAATTTTAGGGGCAACAAATGGTCAAGAAAATACATCATCTTAGTGCTCTGATGTAGTCCTTAATTTTTCTCACCCTCTTTAATAGGGAATTTCTTCTGATAAAACTTCCCCTCATCTATTCTGGTGTTTGCACAGTTCTAAGTGTTACTGCATGTGAATACCCTGAGGTCATTAGAAGACTCTACCCTCACAACATCGGAGAGACCAAGAGGTGAAACTTCCTTATGCATTCATGGGGGAACTCAGGTGCAAGGTCACTGAGTATGCAGGACATCTCTGGCTGAGCTGAGATTCAACTGGCATCTCCAGCACCCCCAGTCTGCCCCATTCCATTAGACAAAGCCTTTCTGCTCACACAATACACATGCATTGCTCATAACTTCAGAGTTCTCTGTGAGTCAGTTTTAAAACAAATAACTTCCTTCCCATTCTCTGACAACCCTGAGTGCTGCCACAGTTACCTATAAACAGGAAAGCACTATGAACACAGTCCTAATTGTGCTAGTGTTACCCAAACATACAATACTCCATTACCTCCTCCTAGGAGTTAATGCTGTTCAGTAGCTCATTGTGCACACTTGCATAGACCTATCCATGCACACACACAAATCAACATCTTCACATGAAATTCCAAAATTACCAGTAATCTACATTCTTAGAGCTGTACAAATCCCTGAATTAACATTTAACTTCCACAAAAAAAGAAACACTCCTCCCCTTCCCCCCTCAAATACACTCATTCATGCACAGTTGGTACCCACTTACAAACCTCATGGCTTCTTAGGATTTTTGATGTGCAGGTCTGCAAACATTTTGCTACATTATAAGATTTAACAAAGAGCAAGCTTTTCAAACCATGCATTTTATTCTGTGAGTAGAATATCCTCATATATTAGGACTGGCAAATACAGTCAAGCATTAAAATCAAGTCTAATTATATGTCTAAATGAGTTGTAACACTGAAGAGATAGCTAGTTCAAAAAACCCCTAACTCTTCCCAAGTGCTTTTTTTACAGTATGTAAACTTTACAAAACATTAGTGGATTCAAGCAGCAATGTACCTGTATCACGAGATGCATAATTTATACTGAACAATCTTGTCCCTGAACAGAACAGAAATCAGGAAGCCTGGAACATGGTTTTTTTTCCCCCCACCATCTCCATACCCCTTTCAAATAATGACAGTACCACATTGCTCAAAAGTAATACATCCTGAGAAAGACAGACTACATCATACCTTTCACAACATGATTAGTTTGAAATACATACTTTTTTCTTGAATATAAGTGTGTGTGGAATATGGAGCTGCTACTTTATTTCCATGAAGAGGATACACGGAGATGTTATAGCATATAAATGGTTTAAAGTTTTCTGTAAAGCAAAGACAGGAATATTTACATAAAATACTTCCTGTGAGATTAATACAATGAAAACAGACTGAATCACAAGGCAGTTCCAAATATGCTGTTACAGACTATTCAACTCTTCAGCAGGCACAATATGTACTTATTGCCTTGAATGCTTGTTGCTGCCCTTAACACAATGACTTCTTTTTACCTAGTATTTGCAAAAGCACATGGTTTCTGACTCATTTTTTACTAGAATACTTTGTATGGCTAATGACACTTCAGTTTTACACAACTTCTCTATGAACCCACCTGTACATCTTGAAACAGTTTATGGTTTTGGAGGAAGTTTCTATTTTCAAATTAAAAGGACAAAATGACACTTAGAGTGATTTTACAGGTACAGTGGAGCCTCAGCTCTTAACTCTTAGGATACAAGGGAACAGCATGAAGTTGTGTCAGGGGAGGTGTAAGTAAGATATTAGGAAAAGGTTCTTTCCTCAGAGGGTGGTTGGGCGCTGGGACAGCTCCCCAGGGCAGTGATCAAAGCACCAACCCTGACAGAGTTCAAGAAGAGTTTGGATAATGTTCTCAGGTACATGGTGCTATTCTTGCAGTTGCCTTGTTCAGGGCCAGGACTTGGACTTCAGTGATCCTTGGGGTCCCATTCCAACTTAGAATATTCTATAACTCTATAAATTCTGCATGGATGTTACAGTTATGCCAACTGCAGATCCACTACTAACTAGCCTGACTCAAGAGCACAGTGTGAGATCTCTGTAGCAGAATTTTGTTTCAAGACATAGTTCAAGCTTCTGGAAATCAAGTTTTGAACTCTGAACAGTCCAGCAGCCAAGTAATCAACAGGGTTCACCCCCTACTTACAACAACTTTCACAACTCTGAGAGCAAAAATCTGTGTTTTCATATCCCATGGAATGAAACCAGTGTAGAGGGTTTCCTAGACAATTCCTCCTCAAGCTCTGAAGCTTGCTCAGCCAGAATAATGGCTATTGACAGATCCCTGTGTTCCAACAGCTTTCTGCTGCTCTTTCAGTCCCTTACACATATTGTAACCAGAAGAGTTATGATGACCTGTGTGTCATCCTTAAATTAATTCCACAAAAGAATGCCAGAATCAGGCCCGAAAACCAGTAAGCCTGAATTTGCCTTGAGATTTCTAATGTGACTTGTGCTTAGGGTAAACAAAGATGTCCTAGTAATGCTGAGGAGGAAAGTATTTAGGGCTTTGTTTTGTTAGTTTTAGTTTGTTTGGTTTGCTTTGTCTTTTAGTTTTTTTTGTGTTGTTTTTCTTGGGGTTTTTTTAATTTGGAAAAAAAAATATATATATACACACACATAAACCAGCTGTAAGCACCATTTATTCCTTACAGCAAACTGCTAAAACAGCGCAATTTTCAGTATAACCTTCACAATTCACCCATCTTAGTTCAATGCGTAAT